TTGTAAATGTATTCGCCTTCGTTCTGGAAAGTTCGATTTACAATGTGTCCTTTTATTTGTTGGGGAATTCGCAAGTTATCTGTAAAATTTTTGGGGATGTGATAAAATTCGAGCGTATGTTCCAGTGTGTCTTTTGGGTAAAATTCTTGTTCTTGATTAAGATGGCCAATCAAGATACAACGTCCAACTGAATCTACTTACTATAAAAACGATACATAATTCTAATTTAATCTTCTAAAAAGCAAAACATGAAGAGAATTTGCTAGTAAAATTGATTTAACTGCATTCACTAACCTGACAGTCTTTTGTCAAATTGTACCTACCAAAAGTCATTGTAATCCGATCTGAATTCCCGTTCAAACTCAGTGCATACCTACCTAACCTGTGTCAGCCAATTATTTAATAACGTGGCTCGTACGGAAGTCCCTTATTCTGACGAATATAATCTAACAGCCATATTGACACACCGCCGGTCTAGAGACGGCCAAACAAAAATAGGCCAACGTGAACGTCGTCTTCGAAATGTGTTACACGATAAATTGAGCTGAACATTTAATTGATTATAATAAAAACGTTTAGGACCATATATCTATTAGCGATTGCGTTAATCAAGAAGATGTTTTAACAGAATTAATATTTAAAGTCGTACTGCTTCAAAATAATACTTAAGAAGATGATACTGGTTTAAATGAAGTACAACAAACAGACAAAGTTATCTATACTGTTACATTAATTGGCCTTGGAGAAATATCCCTGACTACAACGAAGGCAGTCGATTAACTGATCAAAACAAAACCACTAAATTGTTATTACGCGCTCTGTTTAATAGCCCGCCAGACGATGAAGAACAATTATTCTTAATTCCAAATAAACGCGATTTCACTAAACGTCACACACATACAACCGCCTCGTTACTCATAAATCACATAATTGTACATGTGACAACCCTCAAGCGAAGAATTGAATTTAATTGACTCTGTTCTAAAAATAGTCCGGGATTGAAGCTAACAGGGCTGTCACGTAGATGGAACGTGATGGCCCTTATGAGTGCATTGTCTTGCGAAGAGTATTATTTTATTACTTTTGTTTTGAACCCGAGTCTTCATCCAGAAGCAGGTGACTTTTAAATAGAAATTGCACTTGTTAAGCTTGTAAACGTAGCTTTTTATTTGTGTAAAAAGTATATATTGGTTAACTCCAATGAATCATACCTCATAATTAATATTAAATGCAACTAAAACTTGTAAAGTATCTGTATCAGATATACTGCATTAAGCCAAAGCAGTATAGGATAAGTAAGGAATGCAATTAAACAATATGCAAATGTTTTTTTAAGTACTTATTAGATACAACATTATAATGCAACTTGCGATTTGCTTTACTTAGGTTCTTGCGGTCGCTGGTTATAAATAAGACAATATTGTAACTATATATTAGCACTATGAGTAGAACATGTTCAATTGGAAGTGAAGTATAGCTGTCTGATTAATTATAATTACTTTGTAAAAAGCCGTTGAATGTGAATGAAAAAATAATATTAATGTAATAACCGTTTATTATGTTGACAGTTCTATAACAGGAACAGATTGCAACAGTGATATTAATGAGGACCGTTTAGATCTTGATGAGACATTAGAGACCATTTAAATGTCAGATGATACAAAAGAAAAGACTCACAATGCACTTGCTAAATATATTTCTGACGATAGTGCACATGTCGAAATCAAAAATGTTTAGTTTGTTAGTTTGCATGTTGTAAACGTTAATGAAAAACAACGAACTGAACAAACATGCACTGCAGATGCATATTCCAGTACAACCAGTGACGCCTGTCATTAAAAAAGTAGCTTTTGCGCAGTTGGCGGTAAGACGGGTGTTAATAACTGACCCGTAAAGGCCACTTTCGACTTCTAGCAATGAAATATTACTCAGAAAGCGGTTGCCTACATAATTGTACGTGATATAAAAGTGATTTATGTTTAGATTTAAACTCAGTAAACTGGTATATAAAAGTAGCAACTTGTAGATCGGAGACTAGATAAAGTTGAACAAATATAGGTTTTACAGATTATATTGATTCAATTGCGCCTTTGGCGTGTTATGTCAGATGAAGTCAGTAGTCACTGATTCTATGAAATTGATTTAAATAAGATTAAAATCTTTTTCTATGAGTTGTACATAACAAGGAAAACTATAGTACTTAGACTTTTTAAAAATAGTTATTTGAAGGGTGTCACAGATAAAAGTGGAAATGTTATAAATATATAACTTATTTAAATTTTATGGTAGTAGGGTGTGAAGTGCAATAAATTAGGCGATGCATTACCACACTTCTAGATATAGATGATAAGTAAACTTTTTGTTTTTTGGCAATAAAGTCAAAAAATATGCTGAAAGCTGATAAACGCATCTTATATTTTGCAAAAAATCACGTGAAATTATCAAACCAAATAAGGTTTCATTTAAATATTTCATTACAGAAAATAGCTCGCTAAAATAAATATTTACCAATTACACATTTATTTTTCGACCCGTTCAATTAACAGTTGAGAAAATAAATAACATTTTAAGTAACACACGCCGGTCGGGCATGTAATATCTTACAGTGGGTCTCAATAAACATTGTTTTGTTTGCATAAAGCTTGTTAAACAGATTTTAACGAGTAGATACGCAAATAAACACTTTATTTGGAACATGGTAACCAGTCTCAACGGGTCTCCAAGTTATCATGCAAGACGTTATTGAAGGGCGAAATATCGAACTGTCAATCTTAAAAGATCATCTTGATATTCGCTGAGAGAATTTAAATTGGTGATGGTGACAGCGTCTGTCGTATGATTTTCTTCATCGTGTCCTTTGATTGTATTTTCACGTATAAGATTTTTGTTTTTGAGTCTAATTTTACTTATTTCTTTGCGATTGTCTTTTCAATTGGAGGATTGGAAAGAATTTATTAGGGATTTTAATTTTTGGTATGTAGCAGCTGTACTTGTCTGCACTGTAAGTAATGATTAGAATTTAATACAAATTGAAAGCACCGCAAGTAACGATATTAAGGCAAGTGAACACGAACAATATGACCATCGATAGCTATGTCACGGTATTTCAATATGTTTAGCCGTCACGATGGGTGCGGCAATTCGAATAATATTCTACGATATGGTGCAATTGTGTGCATATGAGCCGCCCTTTACTGGTGATGATATTTTATGTACACCCACCGGAACACAACAATTAAATACGGAATAAGAACGCCCACAAACTAAAGTGGAGTAAGGCCGTTTAAAATTAACATTTCATTATGTCAATGTCTCATGTTCGTCCTTAAGGATAATGATGCTAACGAAGTTTCTAATACACTTGCACTATTTACTGATGTTGATTTTAAAAATAATGAAAATGTAGGAAAAATCGATTTTAACGATACCAATATTGTAACAATTGTTCATGATGCTATTCCTGGTAAAGTACAGATGATAAAAGCTTTTTATTTCTTATTCTGTCTGCATCGATGTCAATGTCTTATTTTGTCTGGCAATTAAAAGTACAGTGCAAGCTTTTAAAAATACTTTTAAATTAATCAATTCCTTTTTCAATATTAATAACAATGTAACCGAAAATTTTATTTAAAAAAATAACTAAAATTTGTTTTGCCGTGTTAGGTTTTATTCGTGGCCACAAACCACTAAAATATTTACGCTATCCCGCTTTGATATAACAAATTCATTTGTATTGGCGAGTTGCCCCAAACCTGTCATATCCACTTTATTATCTTTGCTAAAACCAAATTGTTTATACAGTTGGGGTTGTCTGCCATACTTTTTAGTGTCTTTGCTAAAAATATCATCTCTTGATTGAGACTTCGAATTAATTTTATTTTACTACATAGTTTATCTAAAAGTTTGATTAATTCTGTTTTGAAAGATGCGATAACTATCTCAGTTACTTTTATCATTAGTAAATACTACTACGTTTTAATCTTCTAAATGTCATGTGTCAAGCTTGGAACTGATTTCTTAATATAGAAGTCCAGTCACTGTCTTATTTTATTTAGCTTGATACATACGTATGTTTATGATTGATTAGTCATTTTAATTAACCGGTTTGTTATCCCTTTCCAACTGCCACACTTTTAGGATTATCTGTTATTTAATTATAGCTTGGTGTTGAATATGGTTCTTAGCGAGACTTTCCATTGCGGAAAATTTGTGTCGTAGCACATGTTTGGTATCGTAAACAGCTCACTTTATTTTGAGGTCATTGTCAGCAATTAAATTTTCTTCAGTATCAAATAGGCAGCTAACGTTATTTGTTTCCTAGGAAAATATTATTTCTGTATTATTTAATTAATGTATTTTAACATCAGCTTTATTATTATTATTGAGACGTTCCTCGTCATTGTGTTGTGTCAAATGAAGATTTATGATTAGATTAAAAAAAAATGTCATGTGGTTGTTGTATTGTTGCGCATGAATCAGGTGATCACTGATCTTTCCTACCAGATGTAAACAGATATTGTTTATCGCCCCTTAAACTAGGTTGATAAGTAATCAATTGTATTGTAAAATCACTTCAGAAGCCAGCGTCAAAATGCTTTGATAAAATATCATGTTCTTATCCGGAAAATTTTCCTTTTCGTTCATCTCAACATTTTTTTGACAACACATACACAAAATATACAACTGTCTAAGTGTACGAAGATGTGACGCGTTCAAGTTGTTCATTCATAATAGAAATAATTAAAAAAATGTTGTTTTAAAATAGATAAAATAATATGAATGATAATAATAAGATACGATCCGAATGGTTTGATTAGTGTAACGTGATTATTCACGCCTTTATAAATTTAATTGATTATTTTATTTTACAGTCTTACGATTCAGTATTCCTTACTCTTTAATTGATAGTAAATGATGGTTAGAAACGATTCTTTGTGGTTGAATTGTGATTAAAAATCACATTAAATGATCGTGCTTAAACAAGAAAATTATATTTTCAGGGCGGTGCCGAGGCACGCGGGGCTGACTCCACGACAGCGGACAGGCGGCGCGCGCGTATCTACACTACTCCGCTCGTCCGCGCCCGCGCCGCACGGCTCGCACGCACCCGTCCCACACACATCCTGCATCTCCCTGAACCGTGCTCGACCACCGTACAAAACAACTCACAGTGATAGTGAACATTAAAGTACAGTAACTAACAATAAAACAAGTGAAATCCCTAGTGATTCCGTTCAGTGCTCGGTAGCCGAGTGAATGCGCGTGTGTTTCGACACCCTCTGCTTTGGATCGTCACAGCGAACAGCTGCTGACGATGAGCCGAGGGCCTTAGTGAATACAGGTGGAGGAGCGCTTACCGTGGCGCCCACAGTGAACGGCGATAGGCGTGCTTTAAACGAAACTTATAGAGAGATTGAATTAAATGGTATAATGGGGACTCCAAGCGCAATGAACGCTGATTCTGAGAATTGTGTTGCTAACGCGACAATGACGAACGACATGCAACCTCTCATTGAGAGGATACGGGAACTGGAGGCGTTGCTGAAGCAACGTGACCAGGAGATGTTGGAATTGCGCTCGCAACTGGACAAGTTGCAGAGCGTGTTCCCGTACCAGCAGTATGCTCGAGGATCGCGAGGTCCGAGGAAGCAGAGGGCTCAGGGTATCTCCGCTGAGCCCCAGACCAGCTCGTCCTTACAGGACTTGACTCACCAGACGTTCCCTGTCTACGACAAGAGCGAAGCGTAAGTACTTACTATTGTAATGTTATCAATACTCGATAAAATAAACAAGTTCACATTCATGAGATAGTGGATAAATTGGGTAACGTTTTTGTTATGTTTTAATAATTCATTTGTATTATAGTGGTGATCATAAAACATTAGATAACTGGTCGTTTATGTCAGTTGAATTCTTGAGTTGGCAGGTAATAGTTTATACCTTTTCTGACGGGTGGGAGTGAGCGCAGATATACTAGGTGTTAATTAACTTGCACCTGTTGCGTGCATAGCGTTACTTTAAATAATACACCTCACATAAAGTACAAAGCGGTCGCAAAATCTTGCGTAATCTCGTGACAAATCACCGGATCTGTTCTAGGGTATATTGTAGCGACTATGGTACAAAAACCATTATTCGAGAATTCAGTTACGTTCAGGCCACAATTGGGTTCATTATCGAATGACTGATTACTTGATGGCTGGAAGTCCTTTGCACTTTAATCTGTTTTCGAATAGCTTGTAAATTGATTAAATGAAATACCTAGACATCCATACAACATTTTGTTAATGCTAATATTGCTAATATGTACTTCAAGTTTGTTTAATAAATACCGTATCGATAAATACCGTTAAGAAACACCAAGAATGAAAAATATCTTTAAGGATGTTACTATCAGAGAGTTTATTTTTGTTAGTTTTGCTCCATAATAATGTAATGTGAGACGAAAAAATAACCCTATATTAGAAGAAATAATAAAGTTTAAATGCTAGCCATTAATAAAAAGCAACTTATGTTTAGTCCACGTTCCAAAATGAGGCCTCTCATGCTGTAAAGCTATGAAACATTATTGTTAGCGCAAAATTGTCACTATTTGACGCAGATTATCAACAATGATGACGAAATGAATCACAATACATTGTACACAAAGCGAGATAGTTCGCATAGTCGCGTCACTAATACAGAAGACCACGTTAATTCGTATATCGTGACTGTATCATATAACTTTTTACATATAATTTACATTGAAATCAACAAGATAACCTTTGTTGTGTGTAAATACTTTGACATATTTCTTATCCAAACATTACTTGAAATCCAATGGGCATACAAAATTTTCTTCATCAAGGTTGAAATAAAAATGCCTTCCACGATCAAATACACGTCGATGGTATTATCCTTGTTAATGATCATGTCAATAAGGACGAATTTAAAGCAAATTAGGCTGGTAAAATAATTGAGAGTAAGGAAGATTCCTAAGAAATATTTGTAATGACTCATATTACGTTGATAGTTGACGTTTTTATTACAGGTTTTAAAGTTTTTGATGATACCTCTTATTTTAATGCTATACTATACAAAAATAAACCTATATTAACCCCACATAATACTATTTTTCATCTCCACTCTAATTATAATGTTGATAACGAAGGAATGTGCAAGGCTTTTAGTGAAGTTTCCTTTGATAAATTATGTATGAGACAACATAATTATGCAATACTTGACATGCGATTATCTGAAATAAGCGCAGCCTGCAATGGCAAAAAAGATATAAAATAAATAAGGATAATAATGAAATAAATAAGAAATACCCATTTACTCAAATATGAACTTTTCGAAATAAGTAGTTGAAAGATTTTAGCAGCAAGCCTCAACAGTTACTTAGCCGTATAACTTCACGTACAAATTACGTTTGGACATTATCAGTTACACTTTAAAATCAGTTTCATTTAAAATTCTAAAACTGATAAACAACAAAATGGGCCGTAACCACATAAATTTTAATATTTCCTTTAGTATTCTCGTCAGTCTCATATGAGAAGGTATTGACAACTTGAATAAATATAAATCCTTCGTTTTTACCTTCATTAACAACATCCACGTTGCAAAAACAAACTGCAAATTAAATAGCGATCATGCATAATATAGCAGTTATTCTAATTTAATTTGCCTCTTTATTATCTACCTTCTACTCTAAAATAGCTGTTGTAAATAGATGAATAGTTTTATTCGATTTGAAATGGAAATCGCTACTCTATATTCTATTTTTACAACATTTTCCGCTACTAAACTGGTTATTATAGTTCCGTGTACTTGAAAGGTACGAGACGATCTAGATAAAATCCTACGGGTTTTTCATTAGCATTTATTAGCAGTTTAAAAATACAGTCAAAAAGTGGCGGTTCAAGGAGGCTAGATAACCTTAATGATTGTCCTTATCATTGTCCCATCGCACTCGTATGCTTCAAACGTTGTCGTTCTACAATGTCAGTATTAAAATTAGTTTGTTTTGACATCATTCTGTTGTTTTTGTCGTAAAATTCTCCTTTTTTGTCCAAATTTCTTTCCCTGATTTAAGTTTTATTGATTCACATTATAATTAGTCTACGAGTCTAAGTTGTGTGTTTATTTAACTGCATATTATTATTTAAAGTTTAGAATTGCTTATCTACTAATATAAAAATGACAATATTTTTATAAGTAGTGTCATTGAAGAGTAAAAATAAAGGGCGTTAAATCGTGAAATTTCTTTAAAATATGAAAGCTTTTGTGGATTCAAGTCTTTAATCTGTCAATGTGAAACCGTCACCATGACGGTTGACATTTACTGAGACAGATTTGTATTAACCACAAGGGCTAACTGAATATAAATGGACACACGACAATAATATTCTGAGAAATTTCGAAAAAAAGAATCAAAGTAATTATACCTACACAGCACGCTAGTAGGGTAAAGAATGTTTAAACAAACCATATTATTAATTTTGGGATGGTTAATTGATAAAAGCGTCTGGAAATTAAAATCTCATTTTGTTTAATTACATTCAATTATCGACTCGTATGTTTACTTACCCATGTTCTAATTGAGATGTCAAGGCTTTTAACCAATGTTTGGGTTCTATCTACAATTGGAAAATTGAATCTTTGGTGTTTTATAAATTAGGGCATTCAAGGTTGAGGTCGTATACTCCGTCTCTGGAAATAAACCATTTGTTAAACATAAACAATCAACCTACTATACTTACTCAGTGTAGTTTATTACCACTTAGTTTTATGCCCTCTTTTGATGGAATACGTGGGTTAAAACGTCTATTTACGCAATTTATCTCACTGTCTGTCTTTTCATTTACATACTTATCGGTACGCTGTGTACTAAATAAAGTTACTGTATCGCCTGTGTCAGTCAAGTCATATGCAGATTGTTGGAATTTTGCGTCCATTTACAGTCACTCAGCTAATAAATTACCATGATCTGACGTCGAATGATATGGACATGATAATTTGTTTGTGTTTAAACAATAAAATACCTTAAGAAATGAAAGATTAGATTGAAAATAGATAACAATGTGAAATGAAATTTGGTTTACGATGGGCATTATAATCGTCTTGACACACAAGTGTTTGCGATAAGGAAGAAATTTCTTTGTCGAAGAAAATGTCAAAGAGGTGAATGAAGACATTGACTTGGTTAGTAATCTTTGGATAATTCTCATCGCGATCTTGCTTGTTTTTTTTCGTAGGTAAAATAACAAGAAACTTTGAAGGAGGCTAAAATAGAAAAACTGTTCTTAAAATAGACACAGTTAATAGACTACTTCAAGAAAATGAACAAACACGCTAGTTATCCAATAAACTAACATTTTTATTTCTTCAATAAACTAACGAGTTTATTACCTTTATAGTTTAAACCATACAAAGCCAGATTGAATAAATCCACTGAAGTGTATTTTCAAATTGAAATACGTAAAAGTTAATGTAGCCAAAATTCTGTGTTCATTCCTAAACTAATTTTAGGCTTGCGCTAATCAATGTTTTGGTATATGTTAATAAATTAGAGTATTCTTCTGCTTCTCAATTACGCATCTTATCTCAAATTATACTTTTATCTTTATATTGTATCATTAAACATCTCTGTAATAATGACACTATCATCATTTCTTTCCAAGTCACTGATGAAATAGGACAATCATTTTGTGCATGGATATCATTATTGCATGATGTCTTTAACAACATTCGAAACAGAAGATGTCTTTAATTGAAACAAATAAGCAACGGTTGCCTACTAGAATAAATAAGGTTATAAATTCTTTAAGTGCTGTTTATGTGATGTCTATTAATATTACATAGGTATTACTTAACAAAAAAAAGGCTTAGATGTAATTTTTATCTCCCATTGTCCGCTTAGGCATTAAATATCTGAACACATCTTCATGTATTTTAGAGCCCTGAAATACGAGAAACCATTCTAAATCAGGATTGAACAGCTACATTTCTGCATTCAAATGCTTCATTGAGAGGCTTGATACAAGGATTTTTATTTAACTTTATTATCTGGTTCATGGCAATTTCTAAATACCTTTCTAGCATTTCTATCTTCAATAATTTCAGTTTGATTAGTTTCATCCACATTATCTTTCTTTTTTATTTTTGTTTTAAAATTTGTAATTGTATTCTTTCCTTATAAATATTTGACGTTCCACGTAAGCATTTCTCTTCTCATAAATGTGTGTCAAGTGATTCAACGACTATCTGACTTCGTTTTATTGTTCAAGTACTGTAGCCTGAGTACCAAAGAAGGACACCGTGGCTGTAACTTTTAATGAAATTGTAAGGATATCAACGGCATTGCATGTTTATTGCTGATGTTTTATTATTGCTAATTGAGGCTAAATTAGGCTGGTGATAAATGTTTACCTTTAAAAGTACGCTAATTAGTCAAAATTTTATTAATTCACATGACGAATAAAATTATTTTATTAGCTTATTTCATTGCAAATTGCCTATTTTAAACTTCTTATCTGTATCATGTTGTTTGTAGTGTTTTGGTCGTTTTTGGAATAGTGCGTAGACCTTTGGGTGATCTCGAAAATATTGTCTAATTTATTCTGAAGTTTCGCAATGTCTTTAAGATCTGTCGTCTTGTTCTGACAAAATACAGTGCAATCTGTATCAGATCCAGTCCTTGTAAGGTTGTTGAACGAAACCGCAACTTTACGAGGTTGTGGATGTCTGTTAACTGGTGCTT